GGGGGGGGGGGGAAGATTATTAAGTGGGGTAGAAACGGGAGGAAAGTGGACGATTTTGTTTCGCGCGAAACCGCGCGCCGCGCCGCGGCGCAGACGCGCACGTGGAGGAGAGAAGAGCGCCGCGGCGGCTCGACGACGTGTTTCGATAATGATCGAATTATAAAACGTGTGTTGTTCGGTTTGTCGTTTTGCGACCGGTCTTGAGAAGAAGTCTTTGGCAAATTGCACGCTGGCAGTCGGTTCTGCACACAATGTACATACGGATCTCTTGTAGAGCGGTTGACGCGCGACAGGAAAAAGGTCGAAAACGTTAATTATCTCACGCGATTTCTCTGGAAGTGCGGGAGAGGCAGAGAAGAGGCGCGCGCGCGTTGAAACGGTGATGACAATTTGTGCCCGGTTTGGGTTTGTACTTAGGCTCGATACGCCTTTCTTCATTGTCTCTTGTACCGCGGGCGTAATCGCTCGCGTCCTCACACACATATACACTTACGCATGTGTACATGTACATTGACACGAAACACATACGTCTACACACACAACACACGCGTACACACACGCATATTGTTTACACACACATCGAAACGGAGAAGTAGAAACGTTTGAGACGCGGTACTGCACGCGGCCGCAGTTGTATTTTATGTTTCGCGCGTGGATTTGAACGACTTACGCGAGAGACAGACGTCGTCTCGCCGCCCTTTTTTCTATTCTTTCGTTTGTATACTCTTTCTACTTACCTACCTACCTATACCTATCTTCGCTCGTTGTATTATATATAAATGTACGACGGACATTCTCGAACCCAGTGCGCGTGGGTTTTCTGTACATTGTGTATATGTGTGTACATACCACATATTATTAATGAGACGTATAACTAAAAAGGAATTTTTAACGATTTTTAAGTGTACAAAAGTATATATAAATATATATATACATAATATACATATTCGTTTTTGCGTTCTATCTATTAAATTATTTTTTTTCTTCTATCTTTCTCTATTTCTATCGCTATCTCTCTATGTTTATTCTCGCGAACAAAGCCGTCATCTCTCCGAGGAACCCTTTTCGGCGCGTAAAGACACGCGGAGTCTCTCTTCTCTCTTTTCGTTTTCCGTATCGCGAAGGCATCGCGTTGTGCTCGCGCTCTTTAATCACTCGCGCTCGTCTGGTCTTCGGGGAGAAAAAAAGAGGAGGAAGAAAACGAGAGGCTCACACTCGTGAGACACACATAATATATACACACATACACATATACACATACTCATATATATACATACATACGTACATACATACGTACATACATACATACATGTGGTGAGCGACATCACCATCTCCGCGTCACTCACAAAAACGGATTATACGAATAAAGTAATAATGACTGTTGCAACGTCCACTTTTCACCTTTAGTTTATCGCTAGACCTTAAGTCGAGGGCCTTTTGGTTTTTCATTTTCACCGATGAAAAAGGCACGCCCGTCAAAATAGGAACCACATACTCGCTATGTCTAAAAGATAAAGTGGAGGGGAAAATCAAGGCAGGCAGAGACATTCTCTCGTCGGGCGCCCGAGAGCCCAGGCGTACTCTTTCTCTCTCATCGCGGCCCTTTTTGCGCGCGGCGATCATAACGACGATTCTGTCGACGCGCATCCACACGCGGATTCTCCCCCGCGCGCAAGAGGGACTCTCGGGCGCGGGCGACTCCTTTTGTATATATTTGTACAAAACAGATCGGCACACACAGTATGAAGTGTAGAAGAAAGGGAGGAGAGCGGTTGTCGCGGGGGGAACGCTCGGTTCGAGGAGAGACAGAGACGAAGGGAAAAAGTCTAAGGGACACGGAATACAAGAGGACGAAACACAAGTAAACCATCGCGCAATCGTCATCTTGGACGAATTCCGTCGAGATATTATGTCTCTCTTCCTCTCTTTCCCTCTCTCTCTCTCTCTCTCTCCCGTCGAGGAGCGACGTTCCCTCGATTTAGCGGCGACAAACGATACGATACGTCATCTCGCTCGCATGCACGCTCTCGCCAGTCGCTCGAGGTACGTCCAGATACGCAATAACGTAGAAAGTAGAATTATGTTGCGCGAACGCACGTCTTGTACAAGTTGCCGTACCTATGGTATCGAGGCACGCGATAACGTGTTGCGCGACTTTGAGCGCACCTTGAGCGACACGACGACAACGACGACGGCGACGACAACGACGGAGACACCGATGAAAGATGCGATCGATAGCAATACTTTATTACGGCTGTACGTGATATTTTCTGTCGAGTTCCGGTGTCGAAGGTGATAGCAAGCGCACCTTTGACCGAGGCTCGGTTTTAGGAGCTCTCGCATCCTTCTCATTAGCGGACACGAGACGCTTGTTTTCGCGTACCGCGTTCCTTTTAACGCTAAACTAAAAGGGAAACTGTACCGGATTATGAAAGAAACAGAGAGAGAGAGAGAGAGAGAGAGAGAGAGAGAGAGAGAGAGAGAGAGAG